CCAGTGCAATGGCATGGAGGTTTGGCCCAGGGGGAGAGGCAGGTCAAGAACAGAGACCTCTGCCACTCTGCCTAATAGGATTTGGCACAGAGCATGGGGGAGTTCATGCCTAAGGGCACTGTTGAAAACAATGGAGATCTTGGGAGGAAGCATTTGGGAGGAGGGTGGTAGTTCCATGATACTATTAATAGTAGCAACAACAGACCAACTAGAAGTTTAACAGACAGAATCAGGGAAAGAGACAGATGAGAAGAGCCTTCCTGGGGTCAGAGTAAGCCTCAAAGATGGTCAACACTCTAGTCCTGCAAACGGGTACAACTTTAATTGAATCAGACTGCAGAGCAGTTTGTGGCCCAGAGCATTATTAAAAACAATAGAACAATCAGCTAGCAATTTGTGAAAACTAATAATTGGGTTTGATACAAATAGAGGCAGATGGACTAGAAGCTTAAAGGAGAGTCAAAGAGGATCAGCTAAAACCACAACCATCCCTGGTGGTCAGGGAAACTGTGTGCATGAGCAAGGTAGCACCCGGTGAGGAGTGACATCAGAAACTGCACACTGAAGGAGAATAGACTTCACTAAATTGTCCAGACAAGTCCCTAAACAAATAAACAAACAAAAAAGCAAATAACAACAACAAGGGTATGGGAATAATTATGTGGAGTTACTACAATGTATTATCTAAAATATTCAGTCTTCAACAAAAAATTACAAGACATATAAAGAAAAAAGTATGACCCATATAGAAGGAAAAAGAAGCAGACAATAGAAATTGCGTTTAAACGGACTAGATGTTGACTTAGCAGACTAAGATTTCAAAGCAAGAATTATAAGTATGTTCAAGGAGACATATATAAAACACTCCACCCAATAAGAGTGAAATATATAGTCTTCTCAAGTGTACATGGAGCATTCTCCAGGATAGACCATATGCTAGGCCACAAAAAATAGTCTCAGTAAGTTTTAAAAGGATTTACCAAAAAAAGAAAAAAAAAGTTTTAAAAGGATTTAAATTTTGCAAAGTATGTGTTCTCTGTCCACAATTTAAACTAGAAATCAATAAAAGAAGGAATTATGGGAAATTCACAAATATGTAGAAATTAAACAACACACTCCTAAGTAACACATGGGGTAAAGAAGACATCACAGGGTAATTTAGAAAATAATTTTATATGAATGAAATAAGAATACAACATAGTAAAATTTATAGGATGGAGCTAAAGCAGTACTTAGAAATGTATAGCTTTATTAAAAAATAAAAAAGATCTCAAATCAACGAGATTACCTCCACTTAAGAAACTATAAAGAGGCCGGGCGTGGTGGCTCACGCCTGTAATCCTAGCACTTTGGGAGGCCGAGGCGGGTGGATTGCTCAAGGTCAGGAGTTCAAAACCAGCCTGAGCGAGACCCCGTCTCTACCAAAAATAGAAATAAATTAATTGACCAACTAAAAATATAAAAAAAAAAAAATTAGCCGGGCATGGTGGCGCATGCCTGTAGTCCCAGCTATTCGGGAGGCTGAGGCAGTAGGATCGCTGAGTCCCAGAGATTGAGGTTGCTGTGAGCCAGGCTGACGCCACGGCACTCACTCTAGCCTGGGCAACAAAGTGAGACTCTGTCTCAAAAAAAAAAAAAAAAAAAGAAACTATAAAGAAAGAGCAAACTAAACCTAAAACAAGCAAAAGAAAGGAAATAATAAAGATTATAGCAAAAGTAAATAAAATAGAGAATAAACAACAATAGAAAAAAATCAATAAAACCAAAAGTTGGTTCCTTGAAAAGATTAATAAAATTGACAAACATTAGTGAGACTGACCAAGAAAAAAAGAGAGAAGACTCAAATTACTCATATCAGGAATGAAGGAAGGAATATTGCTACCAAACTTACGGGAGGAAAAAAATTATAAAGAAATATTACAAACAACTTTAGGCCAACAAATTAGATAAATCAGATGAAATGGACAAATTCTGAGAAAGATATGGCTACCAAGACACAAACTAAGAAGAAATTAAAACTCTGAATACAACTATAGCAAGAAAAAAGATTGAATTCGTAATTTTAAAACTTCCTACAAGGAAAATCCCAAGAGGCTTTGCTGATGAATTCTACCAAACATTTGAACAAGAATATCAATCCTTCACAAACTCTTCCAAAGCATAGAAAAGGAGATAATGCTTCTCAATCCATATTATGAGGCTAGTCTTACTCTAATACCAAAACCAGACAAAGATATAACAAGAAAAGAAAACTACAGAATAATATTTCTTATGAATATAGATACAAAAATTGGGCCAGGTGCAGTGGCTCATGCCCATAATCCCAGAGCACTTTGGAAGGCCAAAGTGGAAGAACTGCTTGAGGTCAGGAGTTGGAGACCAGCCTGGGAAGGTTAGTGACATCTCGTCTCTACAAAAAATAGAAAAAATTAGCCAGACATGGTGGCATGTGCCTACAGTCCTAGCTACATGGGAGGGTGAGGTGGGAGCTGAGCCCAGGAGTTCAAAGTTACAGTGAGCTATGATTATGACACTGCACTCCAGCCTGGGTGACAGAGCAAGACCCTGCCTCTAAAATATATATATATATAAATAGATAGATAGATAGATACAAAAATTCTCAAAACATACTAGCAAACTGAATCCAGCAACATATAAAGTAGATTATACACCATGATGAAGTGAGATTTACTCTAGGAATGTAAGGTTGGCTTAAAATCTGAAATCAATGTATTAATAATACACCATATTAATAAAGGACAAAACCCACATGATCATTTTAATATATGCAGAAAGAATATTTGACAAAATCCAACACTCTTTCATGATAAAAATACTCAACAAACTAGGTACCACCCAATATTACGAATGAGACAAGGATGTCTACTTTCATCACTGTACTGGAGGTTCTAGACAAGTCAATCAAGGAAAAAGAGAAGAGAAGAGAAGAGAAGAGAAGAGAAGAGAAGAGAAGAGAAGAGAAGAGAAGAGAAGAGAAGAGAAGAGAAGAGAGAAGAGAAGAGAAAGGGCAGAAAGTTTAGAAAAGAAGAAGTAAAATGATCTCTATTCATAGATAACATCATCTTGTATATGTATCTCAAGGAATCCACCAAAAACTATTAGAACTATCAAAATGTATCAAAGTTCACAGCATGAATTAACTATACAAACAAAAGTCAGTTATATTTCTATACACTAGCAATAAATAACCCAAAACGTAATTAAGAAAATAATTCCATTTACAATAGCATCAAAAACAGGAATAAATGTAACAAAACAAGTGTAAGACATGTACACTGAAAAGTACAAAACACTGCTGAAATTAAAGAGCTAAATAAATGGAAACACATCCCATGCCCACAGGATTGAAGATATAATATTGTTAAAATAGTCATAGTACTCGAATTGATCTACAGACTCAAGGCAATCCATACCAAAAATTGGTATGGAAATTCAAGGGACTCAAAATAGCCAAAACAATCTTGAAAAAGAACAAGTTGGAGAACTCATACTTCCCAATTTCAAAACTTCCTATAAAGCTATAGTAATCAAAATGTATAGCACTGACATAAGGATAAACATATAGATAGTGAAACAGAGTTAAGAGTCTAGAAATAAACCCTTATATTTATTGTCAACTGATTTTTGACAAGAGTGCCAAGAAAATTCAATGAGGAGAGAATAATCATTTGAAGACATGCTGTTGGGATAACTGAATAGCCACATGAAATAGAATGAATTTGGAATCCTACCTCCCACTACACACAAAAATTAACTCAAAATGGATCAGACACCTAAATGTAAGAGCTAAACCTCTAAAACTCTTAGAAGAAAACAAAGTGATTAATCTTCATGACTTTGGGTTAGGCAATGGCTTAGATATAAGACCCAAAACAAAAGCAACCAGAGAAAAACACATAATTTTGATTGAGTTTCATCAAAATTTAAAACTGTTGTGCTGCAAAGGTCACCACCAAGAAAAGGAAAAGACAACCCACAGAATGGGAGAGAATATTTGCAAATAATATATCTTATAAGGGATTTGTATTTAGAATGCATAAAAATCTTTTATAATGCAATAATACAAAGATAAATAATTTTTAAAATGGGCAAAGGATCTGACACTTCTCCAAAGAAGATCTACAGATATCCCATAAGCACATGAAGAGATGCTCAATATCATTAGTCATTAGGGAAATGCAAATCAAAACCACAGTGACATTCCACCTCATGCCCTCCATAATGGCAATAATCAAAAGGACAGACAATAGCCAACTGTTAGTGAGAATGTAGAGAAAGTGGAACCTTCATACATTGTTGATGGAAATGTAAAATGGTGTAGCCACTTGGGAAAACAGTTTGGAACTTTCTCAAAATGTTAAACTTTATTTAGAGTTACCTTATGACCCAATACTTCCACTACTAGGTATATACCAAGAGAAATGAAAACATACATGCACCCAAAAACTTGTGAGTGTTCATGGTAGCATTAAAGAAATAAAAAGATAGGAAGTACTGAGACATGCTACAGCATGGATGGACCTCAAGAACATTGTGCTGAGTGAAAGAAGCCAGATACAAAAGACCACATATTGTACATGTCCATTTCTATAACACGTTCAGAAAATCTATAAAAAGGAAAATCTATAAAAAGTAGATTAGTGGTTACCTAAGCCTGGGTTGGCTGGGAGAGCTGGAGTGACTGCTAATAGGTATGCTGTTTCTTTTTTGGATGATGAAAACATTCTAAAATTAGATTATGATGACAGTTGTACAATACAATGAATATACTAAAAAAAAACCACTGAATTTTATGTTTTAATTGGGTGAGTTATATGGTATGTGAATTATATCTCAATAAAGCTTTTAAAATATAGTGATAAATTCAGAAAGAATGATATGGTCTGCTTATAAGGGTAAAGTCATTTTTATCTATATATTGTAATATCATATATGCTGGTATCTTTGTTGCCACTCTGGTGAATACTTTGATTACCTACCTGTTCCCATTCATGCTTTAATAAATGTTCAGAAGCGGGTTCATTTGCTTTGGATTTCTCAGGTGTAGTAGTAACAGGTCCACCTGTTTTATTTTCCTTCAATTCGATGGGACGGTCTCTATTTCCTTCCATTGGTGGTATCAGCACAGATTTCATCTATGAAATAAATTCATGCTTTAGCCAAGCCCTCTGCTTACTGTGCGGCATGCAGAGACTTTAACAGCAGTTGGGATTCTGTCTATATTGGTCACCTTTTCCATCTCACCCACCTTCTACATCTCATTCATCCACCAATGTCTATAAAATGGGCCTATTAAATTCTGTGTGCACATGTTTCAACTAGGGACACTGCCCTACAAGGGAAGATTCCCATTAGAGTTTCAAAGAGATCCCAGAGGTACAGATGTAGCAGCTGTCAGACATGTTCTGAGACATTGCAGGAAATGGAAGATTCTAAGTGTAGGGAAAACTAGTCTCCCTCTGAGTCTTTATCTACACCTGGAGCATTGAGGAGTTCAGAAACACCTCTTCAGAGGGTGGCTGCTTTTCATTTTGTTGTGTTTTCCAGGAGAAATGAGAAAAATCACATCTGTGTCCAGGAAAGTTCTCAAGGGGGACATAGGCTGAAAACTTTGGAAGCCCTTCAACCTAAATGCAATGTAGCTCTCAACCTCACCCTGCCAGCAATTGAATATGTTCCTAATCCTAGTAACAAAGCTGCTATATTTCTTTGGAAAACAGTTTTTCTGATAGCGTGTCAACTATTATAATCCCTTCTGTGCTCTCTCACGTAATCTGAGACTGTAATTTTATACTTGTTTCTCTGTAGCATCATACCTTTATACAAAACAATTTTAAACAATACTTTTGCTACACTGGTAGCCATAATTCAGTGATGGACAATTCTCTGTGGTAGATACTTAGTTTCTTCTACAAACTAGGGTGTATAGGAAATCTTACTTTTATTTTTCAAAATTAAATTGAATTTTATTCTGAGGTCCTATCTCGTTGAGCTAGTTGGAAATTCAATCTCAGCTATTATTAGCTAGTTCACAACCTACCTTCCCTGTCTCCTGCCAGCAAATGCCCTCAGGTCATAAATCAGAGTATTCTAGGAGGATCCTCTGGACTTGGATCCACACAACTCACTTCTGATAAACTCATTTGACAAGGCCACATGGTCTTTAAGTATGTGTATCTACAGGTTTCAAGGCCACTTGGGAATGGGATACTTTGCCCTAGCACCACCTAAGCCCATTTTCTCCTGGGGGGTCCTATAGCCATGCTTTGCTGGGCAGTTTGAAGAATACCAAACCAGGGTCTTAATCTTATAGAATCTTCCTTCTCTGTCCCTTTGCATTGACCTCCTAATCCACCCACCTTACAAAATACCTTTAATGAACCTAGAATGGAGGTTGCCATCAGGTCTGCCCAAGCCTCCTGCTCCCCTAATTAACAATGATTCTACAACAACAAGTGTAAACCAAGAAGTGTGGTCATTTCTACCCTGGAGAGTTGGAGGGTCCTATGGGATGGGGAAAGAAGGGATTGTAAAATCAGACTTGAAAAGCTACTTTTATATCTCATCTGATAGAGTTCCAAAGGCTTGAACCTACCACATTCACTACAGTTCAATCATATTTCATACAAGTACGTGCTGCCAATTCAACCTCACTTTAGGAGGGATAGAAGACAGAAACAATATACAAGTCAAATTTCTATCTTTAAAATAAGTCTTATGAGCAGGATGAACAGTGATCCCTGAAGAAAGTGAAATTTGAGGTATCCCGGGAAAATCGCTGGCCCATGAACTTCTCCCCAGGGTCTGTCTTGGTAACTGAAATTCAAACCTCAGATCCAAGTATCAGGAAAAAAGAAGAGAGAGCTGGAGAAGAAAGCTATGTGTTTAGTACTTACTATTAATATATGCCATTTCTTCACCTAGGTAATTATATTTAATCCTCCCAACAATCCACTATGGTAGGTATTTTTGTCTTCAAATTATAGGTATGGAAACTGAGGATTAGAAAACTTTGTCCAGTCACCCAGCCAGAAATGGCAGAGTCAGGATGTAAACCTAGACCTAAATCTGTCTAATGTCAGAGCCTCACAGTCTTTACTATGTTGAGGTAGCTTTCAAATTAAGGTCTCCACAGAGCTAGAAAGGGACATTCCAGAAACATGTTCTCAATATCTCCAAATGCCCTAAATAGGGCTGGCTGCTCAGGCTAACCTCAAGAAAGCAAAAGTTTTCAATCTGATCAATTGGTAGTGGCTGCCATGGCTGATTAGCACTGTAGTCACAGGGTGCATGGTGGTGGACTGTAGCACTCACGCCCTGTGCTTGCCAATATTTGACTAACGAAAACATGACCTCTTGCTCTTGGCTAAAATCATATCCACTTATTGTGTTAATACTATCTCATCTTGATCAAAAGGTCTTATTGACTTGACTATTCACTGATATCATGAAAAAGGTACCTTAAACTTAGGATGGCCTTAAAATTTACTGCAACTTGGATATTTTTGAGAGTAAAAGGAGGCACTATTAGCAATTACACCAGAACAACGGGAGTAAACCAGGAAGTGTGCTCATCACTCAGCGGGGTAGAGGAGGGAACTATGTAAAATCACTACAGAATCAGGAAAGGGGTTGTAAAAAAGTTTCTATCTGGTTTTGTCTTCGGTTTGTCCTGCTTTTGTCTTAAACCTCTTAGGAGATATTCAACAAATATTAAGCATGTACTACATCTCAGGTGCTGATATTTTATCAGTGCACTAGAGAAGCAGAGGAAGATAGTCAACAGAGCTACAATTCCTTATTTAATTTTGGTAACTATTATGAAGGCTATGTACAAGGGGCTTGACAGCATGTAAAGGGGTATCTGATCTAGTCTGGAGGTTGTATTTAAGCTGAAATTAAAAGGATGAGCAGACAGCACGAATATTATCATTCATATGTGTATAAAGGCTCTAAAAACTCAAGATGCAACAAGGGGTCACGTTTATGTCTTTATCAGATTAAATTCTTGCTCTAGACCACATCTGCCCACATTGGTTGGAAGTTGATTATCAGTCCTGAAGGGTAATAATGGTCCAGGTTTCCTACTAGGACTGTATACCATCTGGCTCCTCAGCTGTTACTGGTCCTCACAGCCACATGGCGCCCCCTACATCTCTAGTCTGGGGGCTTTACCTTGGCTCAGGGAGAGGAGGAAGACAACTCCAGAGTAAGGCCCATCCAAGGAGCCCTTTAGGTGTGGAATCTTTACAGGCACCACATGGACACTTCCCTCAGAGGTTTTACACAGGTTCCTGCTCTGCTTTTATTATATTTAATATGATTCTTTAGGGTTAAAGTATTTCAAAAAAATTATCCTGGGCCATTTGAAGTATATTATAAGGGAAATCATATCAATTCAGAAATAAATGACTATATAGTTTCACTTATATAAGGTATCTAGAGTAATCAAATTCATAGAGACAGAAAGTAGAATGGTGGATGCCAGAGGCTGGAGGGAGAGGGAGAATGGGGAGTTAGTGTTTAATGGGTGAAGAGTTTCAGTTTAGGAAAGATGAAAAAGTTCTGGAGATGGATGGTGGTGATAGTTGCACAACAATGTGAATATACTTAATACCACTCAACTGTATACTGAAAATATGGTGTCAGGGTACACTTTTTGTTATATATCTTTGACTATAATATAAATGAAATGAGATTTTAATTTTTAAAAATCAAAATTTTTCACTTTTAGAAACTATATGAAATATTAATGTTTCCTCATTTTTCTACACTCAACATGAAATTTTAAAAAAATATTTTTGATATATAGAAGTTACCCATATAGTCCTTTATCATACAATCATAGATTTTCTTAAAATTTGTACTAATCATTTTGGAGTTCCAATAACCACTAAAACACAACTCAATTCAATATAATAAATGAAAAGAGGTACACATTCCCTTATAAATTTCTGAGACAAGAGTCATGCCAACATTACTTCTTACTTTGTTTCTTTCTATACCATGGAGTAAATTCAAGTCTGTGGACTCTGATATCCCACCATGTATGACCAGGATTTCATTGTCAATGATGGTACCAATTGGGAGCCAGGTATAGACTTCTTCTAAGATTTCTAAGATTTTTCTTCCATGTAGCTGTAAGTAAGAGCTTGAGTTAAGTTTTGTTTTTCTTAGAAGTTCAGTTTATTGAATAATCCCCATATATGGACAAAAATCAAAATTTTTCATGCCATTCAAAGGAAGTCAGCAAGGAGTCACTAACCAACTACCATGTATTAATCATGTCTTTTTATTCGATATTTTTGATACTATGACATCTTGGGGCCTTGCTACTTCTGGAGGAGAGACTGCCCCTTCCAGGCCTAGCTAATTCCCAGAGACAGTGAACGACTGCCCTTCATATGCAAATCAACCAATCCAGAGCCCAACCCCCAACCACCTCCTTTAAGAGCTCTCACACTAGGGGCCACTATTCCTCTGCCCTAATCACCCCAGTGGTGTCAGTGGTAAATTTTGTGTTATATATCTTTGACCATAATACCGTGTTTCCCCAAAAAATAAAATAAACCCTAGCAGGATTTCTAAGCATTTGCACAATATAAGCCCTACCCCCAAAATAAGACCTAGTGCTGGGCGTGGCTACGCAGCCTAACTGCACAACCCATGCATTTCGTTGCAGAGCGTAAAGAAGAGGAGCAGCCCTTCTCATCTGCCCCATCAGAGCTCTATTGCTCGACATGAGAGATTGGGGCCAATGGTTCTAAAGGAAATAGAGTCGCAAGAAATTCAGGATGGAATTCGGGGTTTGGAGAGTTATGATGATGTTCCAGAAGAAGATGACTTAACTATATTCGAATAAATGTAGATTGTTGTACCGTACTTAAAAAAATAACAGATCCCCTGAAAATAAGCCCTAGGGTGTCTTCTTGAGGAAAAATAAATATAAGACCCTGTCTTATTTTCGGGGAAACATGGTACAAATGAATTAATTGAGATTTTAATTTTTAAAAATCAAGATTTTTCACTTTTAGAAATTATATGAAATGCTAACATTTCCTCATTTTTCCACTCTCAACATGAATTGTTTTTTTAAAAAAATTAAGAGCCAGGTATCAGACAACTAAGGCAACCCTTATGTCCCAGAGCAGGCTGAAATTGCTCGTATGAGTCAATCCCAAACCTGATGACACTGAGGTGCCTCACTCATTGCCTCACAAGAAAGCCACAATAAAGGCTCTTGCCCTTGTTTTCCCCTGATCCTTCAGCTTTCTGACCTACTCTGGTACCTGCCCAAGAGCTTCTCCCAGTGTGGCATGCAGTGCCTCCTATTTCTAAGGAACTGTGAATAGAAAACTTCTCCCTCATGACAGTCATTTCTGTGTCTGTGTGTCTTACCATACCTGAGTAAAATAAAACCGAAGTACCTTTAAAGTAATGGAATATGTTTATATATATGCTAAAACTTACACAAAAGTCACAATGAAAAAGCCTGGGCTAGTCCAGACCAAAAAAAAAAAAAAAATCTAAGAGTCTACTTTGGCCAGAGTGTCCTGCTGTGTTTTTATTTTATTGGCATGGATTGTGACTAACTGACATATCACCTTTCCTAAAGCATTAGTTTCATCATTATTGGCTCTTTTTTTTTTTTTTTACTTCTATGTATAAACAGCAAAGAGAAATCTAAAAAAAAAAAAAAAAGTATGAGTCTTACCTTATATTTATGCAAAATTTCTTTTGTGAAGCCATACCTGAAAAAAAAACCAGTGGGATTGAAACGATTTAATTACTGTTAATAACTCCCACTTACATGAGTCATGTAGAAGGGGAGCCCTTGCCACCTCACTATTGCTAGTACCAAGAACTCAAGAAACTAGACTTCAGTTGGAACTATTACTTACCCAAGTCTTTGCCTAGGTATGATTAAAAAGAACAAAAACAACCAACAGGATTGTCCCTACCCTCAAGGAACTTATAATATAGTTGGGGAAAGAAGATAGATTTGCATGAAACAATTACAAGACAAGACGAGTGTGATAGGTTGTGAACATGCTGCAAGTATTCAGAGAAGTGTGCTATGGTAGCTGGGGGAAGCTGTGAGGGAGGCTTTTCATTTAGACAGAATTTCTCAGACATCTTATATCTTATAGTAAATGATTGGAAAAAAGAAAAGACTGAACAAACAAAGAAAACCCTAGAAGATAATAAGTTGGTTTCTTATGCTCTCTCTGATATAGGTCATGTAATGGTATTGAGGGTTTTAATAGAAAGTGTCAGGAATTTTAATGCCTGGGTAGCAAGAGCTAAGAGAGATTTGATGATGAAAATGTTTTCAATTACTTTTCCTTGCTTTAGGATAATAGTATGTACCCTTAAGACCCAACACTGTGAAGTACACACAGCACACTCACTCCAGGTTACCATAAAAATCGTGTCAAGTCAGGCTTCCACGGTGCAACACGTTTTCCGAGACTAATTCCGTCTTCACCAAAGGTATCCATGTTGCTAAATCCAATGGACATCTTACAGTCCTCACCTTTTTCACCCTTTCTGATATACTAAGTACATTTTGATTTTACTGTCCTTCTGGAAATTTTTTCTCCTCTTGGATTCTGTGAGAGTAAACTCTCTTGGTTTTCCTCTGCCTTTCTGGCTATTCTGAATCTCCTTTGCCAGTTATCCTCTACGTGGCTTAAATGCTGGAGTTCCTTCAGATTCTGTCCTAGGCCCTCTTCTCCCTTCACGTTCTCCCTTAGCAGTCTCGTCCCTGCCCAGGGCTTCAGTTATTATCTAGTGTCAATACCACAGGACTATGTTCTAGGCCACATTTCATTTCTGATCTCTGGACACACATACTCTACTCAACTGCCTACTTAATGGCACCTCAAATCAGCATACTGCAAACTGAATTCATCATTTTCCCTCACCCCAACCACTCTTCCTATCAGTGAATGATGCTGCTGTACCCCCAAACTCAAACAAGGAATGTGGAGGTCATCCTTGATTCCCTCCTCTTTCAACTCCCCCACATCCAGTTACTGAGCCTTAAATCATCATTGCCTGAACTCTTCTCTAATCCATTTCTGTGCATCTCCATTGCCACTACCCTTGTCTAAGTGAGAAGCCATTATCTATCTCTTCAGCTACTTCCTAATCTACCTCCCTATATCCACTCTTGCTCCGCTCCAGCTCAGTCTTCCTGCCACATTTTAAAACACAAACTGTTTAATACTCTTCAATGATATTCTGTTGTCCTTAAAAGAAAGTCCAAATTCTTTTGCACCATCCAACCATTTCTCATGTCCCCAGCCCTATCAGGCACCGTCCTGTCCCTCAGTCTATGTTCCTGCCCCTCCTGAACTTCTTTCAAGTGTAAAAAGTCTTGTCTTAAGTGCTGCATAAGTTGTCCCCTCATGGAGGAACACTGTTTCCCATCCCCCCACAATGGCTCTCTCTTGATTACCCAATTCATCCTTTAGGACTCAGGCTAACGCTATACTTCTATGGGAGAACCTTCCATCAACCCTCAGAGCAGGTTGGGTACCCTGTTGACACTCATCACACTTGAAAAACCTGCTCAATATATGTCTTTCCTGCTAGATGTAAGCTATGAGGACAGGAGTCATGTCTCTTTCATTAATCATTATAGGCACTAGATAAATATGACTGGCCAACTGAACAATGAAAGGACAAACGGCATATCCAAATCAAAGTACTGAGCTATATAATATATAAATGAGCCTCTGATAATAGTCCTGGGATTTTTTTTCCTTTATAGTCTTAGCATTTGTGTTTCCACATCTTGAGAATCAGAATTGAAACTCTGTACTCAGGCCAGGTGCCAAAAATGTCCAAAAGGCAAAACTAACCAGTTGCTGAGCTTTGATCAAAGCATCTAAAAGCCAAGGATCAAAAGCATGATTTTCTTAACATCCTACTGCCCTACAGCAAATTGATTTCTATTTTTCATAAAATAAAAGATTTTTTTAAAGAAAAGAAAAAGAAGAAAGAAGGGAAAAAGGAACATTTGTCACCTACTGTGCCTTTCAGCAAAAATTCTTAAACCATCTAACCAATCTTCATTTCTCAAATTTCCAGTGAGTCAGATAGTTGAAATGCTATGTTACAGCTGTTCTCAAATGTTTATGAACAACTATGCCAGAAGCAATTACCATGCCATAAAAAAATACACACATCAGTGAAAAACATGGTACCAGTTTCTGAGACAACATCTGAGGCAAGCCAAGAGTAGCAACAGAATGATTCCATCCAAGTCTGCTCATAGAATGTACCACACCTCCAAACCCGGCCTAACACAACTACCCAACACACAATTTGGCCTGTGAAGGGTGGGCATGAAGCAAGAGAAAGAATATAACAGAAAGAAGAAGGAAGAATAGAACTCGAAGATGGAAAGGGAACTTCAGAACAACAGATACTCGGTAGAAGATGGGGGGGTGGTAAATAGGGGTAAGCAGTGAGGTTTTCCTTGAGATTCCCCTCATCTTGCCTTCTCTACCTTTACCTCTAACTCTCTATTAGGAACTAAACATGGCAGCATTTTTTTTTCCAGCGAGGGAAACAAAAGAAGAAATCTAAAGGCCTGGGTTACCTCAGATTCATCATAAAATCTTCATGGTTCCCTCTGTTCAAGTGCACGTTATTGGGATAGACAAGAAAACTCACAAACAGGATCATTAGGACCTCCATGGAATTGTTTCCTCGATCTACAAAATCACCATTAAAAATATATGGGTTGCTCTCTGAGGGGAGACCATTCTGTGGAAGGAGGAAAGATGAAAAAACAATTAAAAGAATGTACTTTTGAAGGAAGGCTTTGTGTATAATGTTCCTGTGAATATGGAGAGAAGAGGCTGAGCCAGATTCTTCCACTGAGAAAAATCTGCTCACCTGTTAGAGTTAGTTTCACTCTTCTAGGGCAGGCTTCTTCTGCAAGGGACCTGGAAGTGAAGAATTAGCTTGGGACAGGAGGATTTCAGGGGGCAGCAGAGGTTGCTCATTCTACCCACCACCTATTATGGGTTCTCTCTGAAAGAAGCTGATATTTGTCCTATCAAAAATGGCTGCTCTCATCTCTTCCTTCTCCCCTGAAAAGAAGGAAACTTCTACCCAAGGAAGGACACTAAACTAAGAACCAGAAATCTTTTATTCTAAGGGGCCCCGTGTTTAACTTCTTAGGGCTGTGATTCCCTCAATTTGCAAAAAGGGGTTAACTCTCCTCAGTTCACCTGAGAGAATGGATATGAAAGTACCCAGTGAAAGAAGCTACGCAATGTGACTGTGCTCAGGGCTGATATTCAGCCAGCACATTGATATAACACCAGGTGTGTGTAGCTGGCATGTATTCTGTATGATCACTGACCAGGCCATATTACTTGCTAAATATTTTTAATATCACTCTTGAGTATGGGACAATACTTTTAAACATAGTGTTAACACACAAAGGAGCTAAGATCAGGACAAAGGTCTGGTCTTTATAATAGCTATTAATTTGTTTAATCCTACACTACAAAACTCTAAAACAAAACAAATGTAACATGGTTATGTTTTCTCAATGTCATGCCTGATTTCCCTATTGCATGGCTTCTACTGTACAGTAAGACAAATCCAAATTTTTTTATTCTATTTTTTTATAGACAGAGTCTTGCTCTGCCACTCAGGCTGGAGTGCATTGGCATGATATAGTTCACTGCAACCTTGAACTTTTGGGCTCAAGTGATCCTCCCACCTCAGCCTCCTGAGTAGCTGGGACTACAAGTATGTGTCACCATGCTAGCTAATTATTTTTTAATTTTTGTAGAGATAGGGTCTTGCTATATTGCCCAGGCTGGTCTCAAACTCCAGGCTTCAAGCAATCCTCCCACCTTGGCCTCTCAAAGCACTGGGATTATAGGCATGAGCCACCATGCCTGGCCAAATCCAAATGTTTTAAAAACACATCACAGAAAGAAAAATTTAAGTACTCGTAAAGTGAAATACATGTTTTCCTTCAAAAAAGTTACCTTCATGAAATAATATACATATTCTGATATATTAACCTTTTTCAATCTATTTTCAAATTCCTCCTTTGCTAGATTTCAAATTATATAAGAAAATCTTATTACTTTATAGTCAACATCATACTATTTATATACATGTTAAATTGTTCATATTGGTATAATAGAAATAGTTGAAAAAATATAATACAGGTTATAACATATAACTTAGAGATTCTAGAAACCATTTATGCAATATAAGATGTTCTGAAGGCAATTGATAGCAAACAAACAAACCGGCAGTGACATAAGACAACTAATTCTCTAGTCCAGCTCCACTTTTACCCATGTGTCCTGGGACAAGTCATTTAACCTTTATGACCTATCCCTTTCTCCTCTGTAAAATGGGGATGATAACTTCCATACTTACCACCCAGGACTATTTTGGAACTCAAATGATACCATGTGTATAAAATTGCATAAAAACTATAAAGCAAGAGATTCATTTTATTATGACCTTCATGTTACTTCTAATTCTAAGATTTCAATATTTACATTTTCTTATATCATGTAACCTTATTCACATTGTGCTTAGAGTGTATAAAGCAGCTGTAAAATTATAGGCTATTGCTCACCAAGACTTCAAGAAAAGGGGAAGGATTCTGCATCTCTGATCTTTGATACTTTTCCTCCCCCCAGCTTCAGCTGGCTGGGACAGGTAAACTGGAGGAACCTGAAGAGTGTCAAAGGCTATCGACTCTGTTGGATGTCCAGGTCTCAAGGAGGCTAGAGGAGCAGCAGGAGAGAGCCCTGGGGTGAGAACATGGAAGAACTAGACCTGAGGAGATTTGTGGACACTTGATTAAGGGGGTGGCTCTGCCTCAGAGCATGTGCATGCATGGTCCTGGTTGGGGGGAATTGAAATGTTGAATCTTACTAGAAAAAGTATAAGAAAACTTCCACGTCCCTGAAGCTAAAAAACAGGAATACTTGCATTCAGGAGCACCTAGAAACACAGATAGTTCCTTTCACACTCTTGATGAAGGAGTAGAAAATGTTATGCTGCCAACTATGGAAAGGCTTAACCTAGCTTAAGCAGAAAATAGAAAATTGAAATAAGCTGGTACTTAAGAGGATCCAGCAGCCAGAGAGAGACAGACCAGTCAGATCTGCTAAAGCAGATGGCCCCTAATGAAACAGGACTGCTGGAGAAAACAGAGCACCACTTTATTTTTTAAATAATAATAAGAGAAGCATAAAATAAAGAGCAAAAAGTTAACAATTCTTGGCATTAAGAATATGCTATTCAAATTTAAAATATCAATGGATTAAAGCTAACTAAAAGAAAGAATGGTTGGGAAAATGCATTACTGACCTGAAAGAGCAAGCAGATGAAAAATCTCTCACACAGAGCAAAAAGCAAATGATGGAAATCAAGAAGAATAAGTAAGAGCCAAGAGACCTAATATGCCAATAATAAGCATTCCAAAATAGGGAAAAAGGAACAGATGGAGAAGAGGCAACAATTACAAAAATAAGAGAGGAAATTTTCTCTGGTTAAAAAGAGACTTCAGCTTGAAGTTTGAAAGAACTCATGACTTCTATGCACAATTGATAGAGATGGAGGGAATTCCTATTATCTGGTAAAAAGTCTTAGAAGAAGCCAGACAGAAAGAGCAAAGGGAAAAAAAAATCAGCCTAACACCAGACTTCTCATCTGCAATAGCTGGGAGGTAGGGGATGGTAGAATAAAACCTACAAATTAAAGGAAAAAAAGGACTAAGAACCAAGAATTCTATATTGGCCAAGACATTAACTTCTCAGGGTGATAGAAAAATATCTGCACTTGTACAAGGGATTAAACATCACGAACAACATAAATGTTTAGGCTGGAAGAAAGACATATGGGATTATGTAGTAATCTAATACCACAAAAACAGTGAACATATATTGATTGCTTGTTATGTACCACAGTTTTGAGTGGTAGGAACACGGAAGTAAATAATACAAAGCTCCTGCATTCATAGAAGATAGCATTCACATGTCCCATAAAGGAAAACACTTAAGAAAATACTTTAACTAAATAACAATGGTAATAATAAAAGGTCTTCAAGCCAGGGAAAGACCAAGAGGAAAGAATACAAATGTGAACAATGAACCTTGCAACATATAATTATAACCAATAAACTTGATTTAATATATATGTGAAGAACTTTGTATACTACAAATAGAGAATACAGTTGACCTTGAACAACATGGGTTTGAACTGCTCAGGTCCACTTATGCATAAATTTTCTTCTGCCTCCGCCACTTCTGAGACAACAAGACCAACACCTCTTCCTCTTCCTCCTCAGCCTATTCAACATGAAGACAATGAGGATTAAGACCTTTATGATGATTTACTTCCATTTAATGAATAGTAAATGTATTTTCTCTTATGATTTTCTTAATCACAGTTTCCTTTCTCTAGCTTGCTTTACTGTAGGAATACAGTATATAATGCATATAACATACAAAATATGTGTTAATCAACTGTTTATGTTATCAGTAAGGCTTCCAGTCAACAGTAGGCTATTAGTAGTTAAGTTTTAGGGGAGTCAAAATTTATACGTGGATTTTTAACTGCATGGGGGATGGTGTCCCTACCCCCCCCACTGTTCAAGGGTCAACTGCACAATTAATTTTTCATATGTCCATAGAGCCTTTATGAGACTCAATGTTGTACTTGACTTCAAAGAAAACACATTAAAAATAAGAAACATTTTATAGGACACATTCTCAAAAAATGTGATCAAAAAAATTATAGCTTCTTGAATTAAGATCCTTGGAATTAAAAATTGTAGTGTTAATACGCACTGAATCAAAGAAAAAATTAAAAGCAAACTTCAGTAGAAGGCTCAGTCAAAACTAAAATTAGAAAAGATACATAGCCTTATATGGCTTCATTATTAAAGAAGATGTGCATACAAATAGACAATCTAATGAAACGACTCAAAGAGCTGGAAAAAGAAGAGCAGACCAACCCCAAACCCAGCACAAGAAGTGAAATCAACAAGATCAAATCAGAACTAAACGAAATTGAAAACAGGGAAGCTATTCAGGAGATTAATGAAACAAAAAGTTGGTTCTTTGAAAAAATAAACAAAATTGACACACCATTGGCTAAGCTAACGAAAAGCGAAAAGAGAAATCTCTAAATAAGCTCCATCAGGAACAAAAAAGGAGATATCACAATGATCCAAAGAGATCAAGATACAATTTATGAATACTACAAAATCTTTATGCACACAAACTGGAAATGTGGAGGAAATGGTCAAATTTCTAGAAACACACAGCCTCCCTAGCTCAACCAGGAGAAATAGATTCCCTGAACAGACCAATCTCAACAGCTGAAATAGAAACAGCAATTAAAAATCTCCCTAAAAAGAAAAGTCCCGGTCCAGATGGCTTCACACCTGGATTTTACCACACTTACAAAGAAGAACTAGTACCTATCTTGCAGAAACTATTCCACAACATCGAGAAGAACGGAACCTCCCCGACACCTTTATGAAGCGAATATTACTCTGATACCAAACCAGGAAAGGATGCAACAAAAAAGAAAACTACAGACCAATATCCCTAATGAATATAGATGCAAAAATTTTCAACAAAATCTTAGCTAACCGAATCCAGACACTTATCAAAAAATAATCCACCACGACCAAGGGGGCTTCATCCCAGGGATGCAGGGATGGTTCAACATACGTACAATCTATAAATGCAATTCACCACATAAACAGA